CTCTATCACGTTTATATAGAGTCTAGGCATATGGAACCAATTATACATAGCTTATATAAAGAATCAAAATAATGCCCGCAAGCAAAATAAATCTTATTGGTGTAGAATCAAGATAAGTATCAAGATTTTTTTGTAGAGTTCACCCATGCATTCTAAATACACAATTAAGATGGTTAAGTTTATAATTAGGTTAAATGCTAATTTGGTCCCTCAACTTATTGAGTTGCGCTTTTTTGGTCCTTAAACTATTTTTTGCACTTTTTTGATCCCTAAACTCTAAGAACTACACAATTTTGGTTCTTCTGTCAGTTTAGGCTGTTAACTCTATTCATGTGGCATTTTTTTATATTTTTTAATGACATGGATAATCCAACTGAAAAAAAATGATCACATGGATCATCCAACTAGAAAAAATGATGATATGGATAACTAAAATACCACATCAGATAAATCTTTATATTTTTAATAAAAAAAAAACCTCTCAACCTATCTTCCTCTTCTTTCATTCTCTTTCTTCCTCCTCCTGCTACTACCTCCTCTGTTGATCGAACCCAACAAAGCTAGGATCCATTAAACCTTCTCCCCCCTTTTTCTCTTCTTCCCCCTCTTGCTTTCTCTTTCTTCCTCCTCCTGTTGCGACCCACTAAACCTTCTTCCCCCTCTTTCTTTCTTCCTCCTTTGGCTACTGGGTTCGCTTGAACCCAATTCTGGGTTCCGCAGAACCCAGCAACATGGGTTCAAGGAACCTGAATTTCTAAGTTTTCAAACCCATGTTTATAGATTTTTTTTTGTTTAGTAACTCTAGCAATTTCTATGCATATATTGAATCCTTTTGTTTCAAATATTGTGGTTGTGGGATGGTAATTTAGTATTATGAATGCTGCAAAATTTTGTTTGTATGTTTTGGTTTGACTATTTCTCTTGTGAGTATATGATCATTAAGTTGGATTGAAGTAGTATGAATTTTCAAGGTTTTGATTTGGTTTTGAGAAAGCAAGAGAGGCAAGAAGAGAAAGAGGGGGGAGAAGGTTCAGTGGATCCTAGCTTTGCTGGGTTTGGTCAGCAAAGGAGGTAGTAGAAAGAGGAGGAAGAAAAAGAAAGAAAGAGGGGGAAGAAGATAGGTCAAGAGGTTTTTTTAATTTTTTATTAAAAATATAAAAACTAATATGATGTGGTATTTTATTTATCCATGTCATCATTTTTCTAGGTGGATGATCTATGTCATCATTTTTTTCCAGTTGGATTATCTATGTCATCAAAACAATATAAAAAATGCTACATAGACGGAGTTAACGGCTTAAATTGATGGAAGACCAAAATTGTGTAGTTCTTAGAGTTAAGGGATCAAAAAAGTGCAAAAAATAGTTTAGGAACCAAAAAAGTGCAACTCAATAAAGTTGAGAGACCAAAATTAGCATTCAACCTTATAATTATGCTAAAAATAATCATCCCACAAAGAAGAATGCTACATAAAAAATTCATTTATATAAAGGGTAAACATTGTAACATGATGATATTTGACTTGTCTTGAAGAGTACTAAAAGAGGTAAAATATAAAAATGATGCTCATCAGTGAGCTAATATCTGCACCAGGGATAACATTTGACTCACATTTATCAGTGATTCAATTGGGTGCTCAAAATTTAGTCTTATTAGCCTATACAGTTATCATAAGGATAGTTTATTTTCTAGTAAAAATGTTTAAACCTGAATGTTACACAAGAACAAAGCATAGGAATTATTATTATCAGTTGCTAAGTTTCATTTAGCAAACTGAGCCACCAAATGAAGCATCTCATAGGATGAACAATATAAAAGTAGATTCCTATATGAACAAATGCATGCCCTCGTAATAGCATTGATTTCAGAAAGTTACATAGGGAAGAGACCGCATGATTGCTAGCTACATGCATTTTCTTTCCTAGTTTTTTTACTTAAATCCATTCTAGACTTTATGTACTTGTTAATTTCTTATATTTTTATCTTCCTAGAATGAATTTGAATGAGTAATAAAAAAGGCCAAGGATGCATTTTATATATCAAAGAATGAGAAGGTTTTGAATGAAAGTCTCTTGATAAATTAAGATTTAGATCTATGCCATCAGTATTGTATTAAATTGAATCTAATTATGAGTCATAAATAAAATACTAACTAGATTTTCACCTAAGTTTTTCATCAATCAAGTGAATAAACATAATCATTTTTAAAATCCCTAGTTTTACTTAGATACAAAAGTTGGTGGCCATCGAGAATTGAGAGAAAATTCAAGTTTTTGGCTCTTTACCAATGCAACTCAAAAGAAAATAACATCCTCTAAGTTTTTTGCACATATTATTTTAATTTGATCTAATTAAAAAATAGAAATTCTCACACAAAATTGACAAAAGACTTGATTGAGTTTTGAAATAATATTTATTATTTCAAATTTCAGATTTTTTGTTTTGGTTTTATTTGAGTAAAATTCTTTTAAGTTCTAATCGTTTTATATATACACATAGAAAAATGAATACCAACCTCAACTCTAAAAAATTAGAATCTTAATAATAAATTATTTCATTTTATTTATAATTAAACTTTAATTGAAAATTTAAAAATTTATTTTATTAAATATTAATATTTAAATTTTAATTTGAAACTTCAATTTCTAAATATAAATTAAGATTTCAATTTTTTAAGCATTATGGTTGATATATACTAATCTCATATATATATATATATATATATATGGTTCAAACTCCAAGTTTTTATATTTAATTTTATTTAAGTAAAATATGTTTAAGTTATTGATAAATTAATTTTATTTTAACGAAAGTATTAATTAGTTCAAGTAATATAATAATAAAAATTAAATATTATTTTCACAAATATTATAAATT